TCAAGAAGCAGCAAGGGCACAGGGAGGGTACCCAAGCCTCTTCTGTCTGCCTGAATAACTCAGCCTCCTTTTCAACTCATGACCTAGACAAAGTCTTCCATAGGGAGAATCCAGCTCATAAAGCCTTAGAAAACCCCTGAAAAGCAGCCCAGTGTACCATTCTTGATCCTCAGGCCTCTTCTAGAATTTGTCCCTTATAGCCTCCACATCTGAAAAGGCTGCACCTGCCAAAGTATATTTATTAAGGTAATAATTAACACCTATTTCTTGCTAATCAGAGACACATACCACTACCAATGAGCACCAAGGACTGCTGCCTTCAAGGCACCTCAATCAGCAAAAGCAAAGAAGGGTCTGGCCCTGTGAGGCAGACTAAACCAAAGCAATGACACATGGGCATGAGGCTACATGCAGTACTGGCCCTCATCTGTGTCTGGGGCAGAAACCACCACTATTGCTATGGCTGCCATTTCAGAACCTGGAGACTCTGTTAGAGACTAGTTTATGGCTAGAGACTGAAGACCTATGTTCTAGTCCTTGCCCAAACACTTTGGCCCTATCACTGAATCTTCAGGAACCTGAGTTTCATCATCTGAAAAATGGAGATATTCTCTTCCCTGCTGCAGGTAGGAGCTGTTATAAGGATCAAGAGTAAAAAAAAGGTACAAGAAAAGGCATTCCTTTTGCTGTAGAAATCCCCAGGGAGACTAAAGGTTTCCACATATGTAAAAAGTGACCCGGGGCCGGGGATTTAGCTCAGTGGTTTGGCCACCTGCTGTGCAAGCGCAAGGACCCAAGTTCGATCCCCGGTACCAAAAAAAAAAAAAAAAAAGTTAAAAGTGACTAGTCACGCTCACTTCAGCAGCACATATACTAAAAAGGGACTAGTTACAGTTTCCACCTCAGTGAGCTGTTGTGAGAATTAAATCTGACAATAGTTATGGAACAGTTCCTAGTATTCTTTTCAAGAACTCAAAGACTAGGCTCTTACACTATTGCTACTACTATTATTATTGTTGGTGTTAATAACTATTCCCACAAGTACTGTCACACTTTGTGTTATGGTTTAGACCTAAAGTGTCCCCCAGAAATCTTGTGTTTGGAAGGTGATTGGATCATGGGGGCACTATTACTCATCAGTAGATTCATCCATGATGACTTTAATAGCTAAATGTGCTGTTAGGAGGTGAGGCCTGGTTGGAGGTGGGCCACTTGGGACGTGACCTGAAAGAGCATATTCTTGTCTCTGCCTTCTCCTCTCTCTATTTCTTGGCTGCCATAGGGTGAGCAGCTTCCCCCTGCCAGGCCCTTCTGCCAAACCATTCTGCTTGGAGCCAACCAACCATGGACTGAATCCTCTGAAAACAATGACCCCAAATAAACCTCTCCTCCTTTAAGTTTTAAGTGTCAGGTATTTTGTCCCAGCTATGGGGAAGTAACTAATACACTAGGGAACTCATGGTAAAGTGAAAAATTCCTAGAGCTCAAAAACTCTTCTTACAGAATATATAGGTATCAACCACTCTAGCATTGACAGGATGGGAGGGAGATAGAATCTTCATATCTTTTGTCCCTTGTTAATCCAACACTGAACCAAAAGTACAGAAATAAGAACTGAAATCCACCCACCTCACTTCAGAGTTTTCTGCTTCAAAAAATGGACTCTGGAGAGAATTAAAACCTTTCCTAAGGCTGGAGATGTACATTAGTAGTACGGCACTTGGTGAGCATGTATGAGGCTCTAGGTTGGAACCCTAGCACTACAAAACAAAACAAAATTCTCTGCTAAGTACCAGGAGCCATTAATGTATTCTGAAGACCTCACATAACTTTCTAGTCCAAGGAATCATCAGAAAAAATAAAATCAGCCTTGCTAATACATTGTCCCTCTGGGCCGAGAATATAGCCCAGTGGTGCCACACACCTGCCTGGCAATTACAAGGTCCTGAGTTTGATCCTCAGTACGAGAAAAAAAAAAGTAGAAACCCATTGTTCCTCTAACTTTACTAATTCATTAGATAAGGACTTCCCCACACACAAAAAGCAAACATTCAGAAATCCTCACAGCAAGTTTAAGAAAACAGGCAGAAGCAAAACATTTTTGCTGTGGGGTAAAGCCAAACATTTAATTCCAAATCCTCAGGTCTCTCAAAAAATAGTCACAAAAGGTAGGAAGCACACAACTTGCCTTTGAGGGTAGAGGACACCATCACCAACAATGTTGGGTAGGCTCTCCTATAGGTCTGGGAGGATTCAGCTGAGGCCTTGGGGTCTAGGGAGCCAGGGCTTGCTGTAGAGAAACCACCAGGTACCTCACAGAATCACCCTAGAAGAGTGGCGAAGGTGACGAGACTGTTACTTTGGAGTCCTACAGGCTACCTCAAGTTGCCCAGCTCAAGGATAGACCTAGTACTTAAAGGCACATACAGCCTTTCTTCCTGGCAAATGGACGTAGTAGGTCTTGCTCCTGTGTGAGATGAACACCCTGGACCAACCCCCTCCCTCTCACCTCAGAAACACCGCTCTCCCTCAATGGTCCCTTCTATTTCTAACCTCTACTGGATCATTCCCAGCAGGAGAAATCATGTACCACGATCTCCCATCAAAAATGAAAAACCCTCCCTCAAGCTCACATCTTCTCCAGTTATCAGTTAAAGATGTCTCAACTGCACTTTGCACTGAAACTACCTTGAAGGCATGCATGCCTATCCCTAACGGTGCTTGGCCTTACCCGTACTTCCTCTTCTACCCTCCTGCTAGGCTTTGTCCCTGAGGCTCCTTGACTGTGCACTCACCTCACTTCTCAGTCTCCTTTGATAAATTTGTCTCTTTCCCAATCTCTAAACAATGTGCTGTCCCAAGACAAAGGTCATCTCCTGTCTGTCCATCTTGATCCTAGGTAATTACAACTACATCCATGGTCTTGAACAACATCTATTACACCCAAATGGATCTCTTCAACCTCTCCTCCAGGTCTCATATTCATACACCTATTTGATATACCCACATCTTAAACAGAACATGGCAAAACAGTGTTTCTCTCTGACCTCAAACGTGCTCCTCTCCCAGCCTTCCCATCTCATCAGTATGTGCACTACCTACTCAGAGTCAAATCTCTAGAAGTCATCTTTGACTCTGTATCCAGTTCATTGGGAAGGCCCAGGACAGCACATCCTAAACACGGGCTGAATCTGACCACTGCTCTCTATCTCCATGGATTCAAGATCAGTAAGCTACTATGGACTCTTGCCTTGACCACAACAACAGCCTCCTACTGCTCTCTGCCTCTTTCTAACAGGTGCCACCTGCAATCCACCTCCTCTGAGGATACACAATAATCATTTGCAAACTGACCATGGCATCACGGTACTCGCCTGCTTAAAACCCTCCATTCATGAGGCAGGAGGATCATGAGTTCAATCCAAACCTAGCCACTTGGTGAGAACCCATCTCAAAAAATAAAAATGAAGTGGGGATGTAGCTCAGCGCAAAGGCCTTGGGTTCAATCCCTGCCAAAACAAAAAACAAACAAACAAAAACCTCCAACCAATGACTTCTCACTGGGCTCTGAATAAAGCTTGAAAACTTTACTTCGGCCCACAGAGTTTTCCATCATTGACCTCTCTGCTACCTGTGACCTCTTCTCATGCCACTTTCGTCCTTGTTCACTACCTTCCAGCCACACTGGCCTGTTTGCACCTTGAACTTGAAGAATTTTGTGCCTTAAATCTTTGCATTGGCTGTTTCCTTTTTTTTTAATTATTTGCTCTCCTCCTACATAGTTCCTTGTCACTGAAACTTTAAATGTCACTTACTTGGAAACACCACCCCTGATCTGCCAATCCACGGGAGCCACCTAGTCACGTGCTACCACATGCCCCTATTTCTACTTTCTGCATAGTAGCTACATCGATCTGATAGTTTACTTGTTGTTGTTCCCTTCCCTCCAGTAGACTGCAAGCTCAGTGAGCAGAGAGGGGCTCTCACTTCTATTAATCTTACTTATCAGTATTTCAACTGTCATGCAAGAGCCTAAACTAGGGAAGGAAGCTCTGGGATTTTCTTCAAATATGTTGCTGTCCTATTATCAGTGTTTTCAATCTGGTGAAGCAATGAATTCTGGCTCATAGTCTCCCAAAGCACACCCAGGACTAGTCAAACCACCGTCCGGACCTTTGGCTAGTTCATTCATTCACTGAACAAACATTTACCAAGTGCCTTCCCCAAGGCCGGCACTGGGGCAAAGGTCTACAGGCAGTTCCTGACCTCACGGAACTCACAGGGAGCAGGCAGAGTAAGAAAGGCAGCGACCCGGGTAACTTCCCGAAGTAAGTACGAAAGTAAAGACAACACACGTGTCTGCACTGAGCCTGTTTGTTCCTTAACTCACGACCCCGCGATCTGATTTCTGCAGACCCTATAGACCCAGGGATCTGGTGGGGGCAACGCTCCAGGGCTTTGGCGGAAACGCTACCGCTGGACTAGCAGAAGCTGGAACGATCGTCAGGGTTCAGATGCAGCCTAGGAGACACGGACTGAGGATTCGAGGAATATTATTGGCTGACCGCCTCGCGTCCACCTCCACCTCACCCCGGGCCGAGCCGAGGACTGAGGGCTGGGGCGCCATCCAACACCCACCCCCCTGCCCATCCTAGGGTACGCGGCGGAGACTAAGGCCTCCCCGGGGGAGATCTCCTTCGTCTCTACTCCTCAGCCCTCGAAACCGGGTCAATGCTCCTTGTTCCACCGTCCCCAGTCCGGTCCCCGCGCGCTCAGGAGGCGTGTCCGGCTCCACGCGGCGCTAGAGCAGAGTCCGCAGTTTGCACCCGGCTTCGGTGCACCCGGCCCGGCCCAGGTCCCCCAGTGGCGATGGGAACCCCCGCCCGCCTCGGCCCCGGAGCCCGCCACACACCCAGGCACACAAAACCCCAGCGTGCAGCCGCGGCGCCGCGCGCCAAGTCTCCCGGGACGGCGGGAGGCCGGCGGCCCGACTCACTCACTCGATGAAGTAGCTGGCGCCCTCCTCCGTGAAGCCCTCCTCCCAGCCGCGGGGCAGGTCTGCGGGAAGGCGAGAGAAGTCGGTGAAACTTTCGACACCGCCGCGGCGCGCCCCTCCCCACCGGGACCCCCACCGCGCGCGGGTCTGGAGCCCACCTGAGCGGATCATGTGGCCCGAGTTGACGGGCTCGCCGGTGCGCGGGTGCAGCCAGGTTGTGCGGCAGAGCTGGTCGCTGAGGAGAAAGGCGCACCTGTTAGCGCCACCGCCGCCGCTGCCGCCAGGGGATCTCGCCCGGCCCCGCGCCCCCCACCCCAGCCCCGACCCCCGCCCGAGTCCCCACTCGCCCACGCCGCACTTGATGAAGAAGACACGGCCGTCGCGGCACACGCCGTAGGACCAGTCCTCAGGTAAAGTGTCCCGCCCGACCGCCGCCGCCGCCATGTTGGCCGAGCGCGGAGCCGCCGAGGGCCGGGGGGGAGGGGGCGGAGGGGGCGGCGGGCGCGCGCGCTCGGCCTGAGCGGTGCCCCGCGGCTCTCCCGCCCGCTCCATGCGCTCCATACGGCGCGGGTCGCCGCGGGCTTCACGCGTTCGCCGCCTCCCGGGCCGTCTGTAGCGCAGGGCCGGTGGCCTTTGTCCCCGCGCCTTCCCCGCCCCCCGCCCGCCGTCCCGGGCGCGCCCCTTGGCCCCAGAGAGACCCTGCGGGACGGGGCGGGGTGCCCCGGACCCGAGCAGCTCGGGAATCTCTCGCCCCCACCGAGTCCCCCTCTGAACTGCACGGGAAACCCGCCCCCTCCCCACAGTCGCAGAACTTCCCTGCCCGGCCCGGGAGCAGCACTTCTGTCCCACTGCTAAATAGGGTACGGCCAGAGTGAGTCCCAGTCTCCGATTCTTCTGCCATAAAGTTAATGAAGTCTGCACGGATTGTGGTGTAGACGACTGAAGTCCTGTGGTACAAAGCGCTGAACTGGACTCTGGCTCATAGCGGGTGCTGTTACGGCCTGGCTGAGGACAATCTCATTGAGTTCACAGCGGGGTGTGGAGCAGGAGAGTGTATGTCCCCCCACAACCATCAACATAACCTCCCGAAGGGCCGGGAACACACCCTCAATTCCCTTCAGGTAGCAGCTGAGTGCTGGGCTGGACCCTCTGGAAGAGCGCGACCCGCAGGCTGTGTACAGGGCTGGCACCTCCTCATATTCAGGTCTTCCCGCACATCTCAGCCCCTGACCTCTCTGTGCAAGAGACCCTTCTCCTCCTGTTGCCTTCACTCTCCTTTGCATTACTCTCAACTTTTTTTTCTTCCTGGGGATTGAACCCTGGGCCTTCCAACAGTTACATCCCCAGACCTATATTTTTTAAGACAGAGTCTTGGTAAGTTGTGCAGCTTGAGTTCCAACTTGAGCGCCTCCTGCTTCGATGACATTCTCATTTGTGTTTATTTATTGTCCTGTTTGTTGTATATTAATTCACATCCCCCCCCCCAAAAAGAACTAAAATGTCAGCTAGATGAGAGGAAAGGCCTTCTTCTTCCTAATACACTGCCTTAGCCTCAGTGCCTGGAAAGCACCTGGTTCGTGTGTACATCCAATAAATGGTGTGAATGAATGAAAAACACCCTTGGACACCCTCAGACACTGTTCAAAGACAGAGCCGAAAGCCTACTCTGGACAGGTGTCTGGACCAGCCTTGCAGGCTTAGCAAAGAGAGAGAGTGATGCTGCATGCAGGGTGCGGATTGGACGGAAAAGAGAGCTTTCCAGAGGAGAGGGGGATGGGATACTGAGCCCATGGAAACAGACAAGAGTCTTCAAGAAGGAGGTGGGGTTGTTTGGTTGGCTGGGGGTTTTTTGTTTGGTTTTTCTTGGTACAGGGGATTGAACTCAGGACTATGGCATTACTGAGCTAAATCCCTGGCTGGCTGGGTTTTTTTTTTTTAAGACAGGGCCTCATAATGTAGTTCACGTTGGCCTTGGACTCACTATGTAACCCAGGCTGGCCTTGAACTCACAGGGATCTTCCCGCCTCAGCCTCCTGTGTTCTGGGAGGCAGATCTTGAAGTACTAGAAGGTGAGGTGGATGATCTTGAACACCTGGCTGAGGAAGCTTCCTATCTCTGAGGAGGTTCTTGAGCAAATGAAAATAGCAAAGTGGTGTTTTTGTTGTTAAATATCGATTTGAAACAATACATTAAATAAAGGTAATGAACACAATAGGAAAGTAATACAAGTAGCTTTTAAGCAAATGAAAAGATGCTTGACCATCTCAAAATAGGAAAACTGCAAATTAAAATTAAGGTGGCTCTTTTTTTATATATCAGATGGGAAAAGATACTACACGTTGTGGAGAAAGACATTCTTGTTCTTTGTCTTGGAGGACAATTGAGCAGCAGCTATTATATCTTAAACGCATATCCCTTTGACTGTACCACTGCCAGCAATTTATCCTACATTAGTCCTCACTTAGGCACAAAGACCTGTGTACTAGGGTGTTCACTGCAGCTTCCCTAGTGGTTATAAAAAACTAGAGACAGATGTAGCAAAGAGTGAGTTCATGAAATGATGACATAGTCCTCAAAGGAATGCCTTACTGCTGTTCCAAAGAATGAGAGAGAGATCTCTATGTATTGTTAAGGGATAGTTCTTAAGATATTAAGGAAAAGCCAGGATGAGATATATTAACTTACATAGTCCCTACAGGTGATATGATTGCTTCTGGGGAAGGAAACTTTGTGATAGGAATGGCAAATTACTTTTCCTTATGCTCTTCTTACCCTGTTTGTTATTTTTACCATTTAAAACATAAATATTAGGGCTGGGGATTTAGCTCAGTGGTTCTGCCGCCTGCCTTGCAAGCGTAAGGACCCGAGTTCAATCTCCAGTACCAAAAAAAAAAATACAAAAAAAAAACCCAAACAAAAACAAAAACATAAATATAGCCAAGTGTGGGGGTGCATGCCTATAGTCTGAGCTACTTGGGTGGCTGAGGCAAGAGAATCAAGGCCAGCCTGGGCAACTTAACAGGATGATGTCTCAAATAAAAAAAGGTTAAGGATATGGCTCAGTGGTAGAGTGACCCTGGATTAGATCTTCAGTCCTGGAAAAAAATAAAACAAATGTATATCAAAAGATAAAACAATACAGTTTATTAATGGATCCTATAAGGGATACCATGAGGATATCTCAATAGAAGCCAAAAGTGCATTTTTAAAAAGCCAATTCCCATCACTAATTTTAAAAATTATATGGGATGGGGTCGGGGATTTAGCTCAGTGGCGCTGGGCCCACCTTGGAAAAGCAAGGTCTTAAGTTCAATCCCTGGTACCAAAAAAAATTATATAGGGTTAGCCAGGTGTGGTTTGTTTGTGCCTGTAATACTCAGTAGGCAGCCTGGGTTACATAGTGAGACCCTGTATCAAAAAAAAAATTATATGGAGTTAGTAACTCCATTATAGACCACTTGCCATGCATGCCCAAGGCCCTTGGTTTCATCACCAGTGCTAACAAGGAGAAGGAGGGAAAGGAAGGAAAGAGGAGAAAAAGAAACTGGGAAGGGGAAGAAGGAAACGTAACAATATCAGAGAGTGGTGAACATATAAGAAACTGTATCTCAGCATTGCTAGCGGGAATGTAAAATAATATAGCCATTCTAGAAAATAGTTTGGCACTTTCTCTAAAAAATCGAATTCTAGATAGCCTATTTAATAAATGGTGTTGGAAAAACTGGATTTCAACCTGCCAAAGATTAAAACTAGACCCATACCTATCACCATGCACTAAACTAAGATTGAAGTGGATTAAAGATCTAAATATTAAAACAGAAACACTAAAGATAAGTTAGGTAGAACTCTTGAAGACATTGGCATAGGAAAAGACTATGAACAAAGCCTCTGTAGCACGGGAACTAGCACAAAGAATCAACAACTGGGATCTCATCTTATTAAAAAGCTTCTGCACTGCAAAAGAAACCACCAACAGAGCTAAGAGACAACCTACAATGTGGGAAAAAATTTTTGGCAGCTGTACCTCAGACAAAGGACTACTATCTAGAATATATAAAGAACTAAAAAAAACAGACCCCCCCAAATTCAAAGACCAAGTTCAAAAATGGGCATCTGAAATGAACCGACATTTCTCAGAACAAGAAATAAAAGCAGCAAATAAATATATGAAAAAATGTTCAACATCACTGGTCATTCGAGAGATGCAGATGAAAGCAACACTGAGATTCCACCTCACCCCAGAAAGAATGGCTGCTATCAAGGAATCAACCAATAACAACTGCTGGTGGGGGTGTGGGGAGAAAGGAACCCTTCTCCATTGCTGGTGGGAGTGCAGACTGGTGCAATCGCTGTGGAAATCAGTATGGAGATACCTAAAAGAACTAGGACTAGAGGTCCCATTTGACCCAGCTATTCCCCTGCTGGGGATCTTCCCCAAAGAATTAAAAGAATCATACCACAGCAATATATGTGCACCCATGTTCATAGGGGCACAGTTTATAATAGCTAAAGCTTGTAAGCAGCCCAAGTGCCCATCAACTGGAAACTGTATAAAGAAGATGTGATTTTTTAATAAAATGGAGTACTACTCAGCCATAAAGAACAAAAAACTAGAGTCATTTATAGCTAAATGGATGCATATCAAGGCCTTACTCTTAAGTGAAATAAATAGGACACACACATGTAAATACCGAATAGTTTCTCTAGTGTGAGAAACTGATAGTGTAAATAAGGGTTAAAATGATTAAAATGAATAATTGATAATTTGAAATAGGAAAAAAGGTCCAAAGACATAGGGGTGAAGGGAGAGGAAGGGGAAAGGAAAGAAGGGAAAGGAAAAACTATGAGAAAAGAAAAAAAAATGGAAATGATGTCTATGTAAATAAGGAAGGGTGGAGAGGGTGAAGGGCGCACAGGTAATGGGGAAAAAATAAGAACCAAGATACATCATGTACAGGTACAAACACCCAATGATAAATATAAATGTATTGTATACCTAAAATGTAGCAATAACAGAATTTAAGAAAAAAAAATTGACTTCTGGGAAGATGGTGGAGTGATAAGCAGCAGAGAAAGAGCCTCTCCAAGATTTGGTGTCCTGACACTGGAATGTAGCAGGGAGAGGAGGAGAAAGAGGAAGGAAGTGGGTCCCCAGGACCGTGAAGGATCTGAGGCAAAAATTGAAGACTATAGGGAGACTGAAGAGAGAGACTTTAATGAAGAGGAGGAAGATACCAAGCAGCACCCTCTCCCAGAGCCTGGACTCTCTGAGAGGGAATGGTGGGCTGAACCTGCAGATGCACAGTGACTACTGATGACCCCAGAGGCCTCCACAGAGAAATCCACCAGTAGAACAGAGCAGTGGATGAACCTACCTGCAGTGGCTGGTGAGTTATCTGGGTTCAGACCTCACCCAGGAGAGGGTGTTTGGCTGGTAGCCATCTTGGAGTGGGGCCAGCTGAGCTCAGAACTCAGAA